GGACTAGGGAAGTGATTGTCCCCCCAAACTGGGGACTGGTGAGGTCGCACCTCAAATCTTGTATTCAGTTTTGGGCCCCTCAGTACAAGACAGACACTGAGGTGCTGGAGTTTGTCCAGAGAAGGACAACAGAGCTGGGGAAGGGTCTGGAGCACAAGTCCTGTGAGGCGCGGGTAAGGAAGCTGCAGTCCTCCTGGAGGAGGCTCAGGGGAGATCTTATTGTTCTCTGTAACTCCCTGAAAGGAGGTTGCAGTGAGGTGGGTGTTGGTCCCTTCTCCCAAGTGACAAGAGACAGGATGAGAGAAAGCAGCCTCAAGTTGCGCCGGGGGAGGTTTAGATTGGGTATTAGGAAAAAACAGCGAGACTGTTAACTGATTCTAAGAGTCTTTTCCAGCCCAAGTGATTTTATGTTTCTAAAAAGGTGATAAAATCATTTATCTGACTACGGATTACCAGCAACTTCCATTTAGATACAATGTTGGTCAACACATCTATTAGTGTTACATTGCAAAATCTGGGAGCAAAAGTTATCTAGATTTCTTTAGTTTTAAGTACTGTAAGACACTAAGTGAACTAAACAAACACAGCTTAATAAACGACTATGGGCTAATGAAACCTAATGCAAGCAATATATTCTGGAAAGGAAAAGTTCCCTACAACAAACAGATATTAAAAGTCTACAAAACTCTAAATAAAAACAATGTAGAATCACTATGTTCACCTCTATTTTGAGTATTACTATCACCTACTGCACTTAGAAGCCACAGTCAGGAACAAAGGTAAGGCAATAGCATGCCCTGGCTCACAGATATTTTAATAGTTCTGACCATTCCATTTTTAAATGGACATTAAAAAGGAGATATTCAAGTACAGCTAAAAATAAAAAGTTATAAGCTAAGATAAATTCTCAAAAGAACAAAAGAAAAATCAGAGATTGAAATACAAATAACAGGATGTGACAGTGACACAAACATTATATAACCAAGCAGGCAGCTCAGAGCTGCTATTAGCTCTGTTTCATATAACATACAAATAAAGCAGAAGAGAAAATCAGAAAATCTAAGAAATTCAAGAAGGGACAAAATAAATTAATTTTTCCTTATGCTATCTAAAAATGTAGCAGAAATCACTGCAAAAGGGCATAATAGGTATCAGAGGTTATGTAGGAGAAAGGTAATGATAAAACTAGTAACAATAAAATGGTTGGAATTGTAAATAAACAAGATGACCCACAATTAGTGAATGCCAACAACACCCCTGAGAGACATCTTGCCTGTTACAATTTAAATCAGAAATATTTGACAATAATCTGAATTAAAACACCGATTTAAAGAACAGGCAAAGTGAAAACTTGTGGTGGCCCATATCTTGGCTATGATTTAAAAATGGCTCATCTTCACTTAAAGTTTGCAAATCAAATAGAAATTCCACATCCCTAGGAGCTGCGTGGTGGGGATCCTGGCTATGCTGCAAGATGAAGTCTGAACTGTACACAAAGATTCTAAGAAGAGACAGACACTACTTATGTTCTGCCTTCCTGTATTTCCCAGCTGACAAGCCTTTCAACACAGACTATAAAGTCACTAAGGGAGGTTGAATTCCAAGATTGTAAAACCAAAACCTTCCAGAACACAAGCAAATCTGCCTAAAGAACCATTTTTACTGAACAAGCCCCTGGAAACAAATTACTTTAAGCACTTAAACAGTCTTTATTATAAGAAAAGCATTTAGAAATAGCCTATAAAACCAAAATATACCTTGATTTTACTTGCACAGATATATATATATATACACACACACACAGAGCATGTAGGCATGTCTAGAAAGAACTGAAGGAGATATTAACAACATTTATGTCGTTCTCACCCCTTACCTGGACAAGATGGATTAGGGTGGTCAGAATGGCACATCGTAGCATATTATGCTCCTCACTCTGTTTCCAAAGCAGTGGTAAATACTGAATCAAACATCCTGCATATGGTCGTATCTGAAGTTCAGAACACAAATTTATTTCTTGATGTGTAAAATGAGCCCATCAATTTATCCCAAGCATTATTTCTCAGATATTTATGAGCTACTTTTGTCACAGTAAAAACAGTTTTCTTAATTTACTCCTCTTTCCTCTTCCTAAAACAACACATACCCGTCCCAGTAAAAAACCAACAACATAATGCTGAATAACCTCTGAAGTTACCCATACTTTGAGCAGGGGCTGGACTACATAATCTCCAGGTGTTTGTCCCAGCCTAAGTTTTTTGTATGATGCCCTACAAGACAAAAAGGTTAATCTATTTGTCTTCCAAAGGATTTAATTAGGAATTAACCTAAACAGACTCATAGGTTCCTTCTCAACTTGGTTTTTCTGCTGCTTCTCTAGCTGATCTAAAACGCAGTGAAATCTGCTGTTCTGTTGAATTCTCTTACGAAGGACAATTAGGAAAGATTCATTTGGCTCTCAGACAGGATTACTCAAAACCACACATTATCTCTGTCATTAATACAGTAATACCACAAAGAAAAAAAAAAAGAAACCAAAACAAAACCACCACAAACACGTGGGACAAAATGAGTCAAGAACTCATTTTTTATTTCTGCAAAAACTTCTTCAATTTCTTTATGTATAAGCTGAAGAACATACTTTAACATCAAGGAGGAAGTACTGAAAATTCGTAATGTGAACTTGAAACTCCAAATTCAGTTAGAGTGTGCTATATAGGCAATCATGATCTCTATCGATGCCAGTGAGAGATTACAAATCTAACTGCACAGTCCCTAGGAGGGTGAAGCATTTTGTCCTCCCAGATGTGTCTTTTAATATGTAAGATTTAATAAAATACTACTTCAGATATGAGACAATTAGAGTAAATTACAATTAAAAAGAGAAAATTGCAAGAAATTAAAGGTCTGTACTTTAAAAGATGAATCAATACAGAAAATACTTTACTTTTTAAACTAACTGAGCAAGAACATTTTACACAAAAGATAAATGAGAACTGAAAAATGAAAAGAGAACCAAGTAATGCAAACAGTTTAGGCATCTACCATAACAAATACTAGTCTATTAATCAATTACATTTTTCTACTATTTTTGTGTAAGTCAGAAACGTCAAGTGCTTCTCTGTGTTCTTAGGACAAAGCTAAGACTGAAATCTATTAAAAATACCTGCATATTGACTCTTTCAATCACACAAGACAGAACATGAAGAACATGCATTTTGGTGTCACATTGTGTTACTTCCTGAAGTAGCTGAAAGAGCAGTGTAAACATGGATTCCAGATACTAGAAGAAAAAAAAAACAAACCCAAAATGTACAGATTAGACCATCAAAAGTACAATGGCTGACATGAACTGGAAATTCAGCTTGAAAATACATGATTTCCACGTTTTGGTAAATGTGAACATGACTTCACAGATAAAACACTATAAAGCTGAAGGACATCTCTCCAGAAGTAGCACTTTGTTAGGGTCAAGGCAAAGGTATGGTCATCCAGCTTTTGGGTCGGTAGATAAAATCTATATATTCAACTGAAAAAGCGATCTTAACTCCAATTTTTAGAGTGCAGATGCACCCTCCATTTTTGTTTTGGTTGTTCTCAAGAGAGTTGCAATTAACATGGAAGTCACAATCATATAAAAAGAAAAAACACCTGCTAAATTTGAATGATTAAAAATAATCTGCTGTAACTACTGCTAACGTTTTATTGCTCTCTTCATGACAACAGCAATTACCACTGCAAAGAACAGAAATAGAGGAGACCAAGAAAGTCTGTGTTTTTAACACGCTATTTTAACCACATACTTGTATTTAAAATATGTGTGAAACAGCCGGACGCAAAACACTGTGTGCAACAGGCATACAGGAAAGCCACATTGGTGTGGAGACATATTTGTTAAAGACAGTGTTTATACTGTCTCAGCATGAAGAAACTTAGCATCTGGTCAGACAATATATATATAGGACTAAACACAATGCTAGAAGTCGGAATAGTCAGAATACTAAAAGTGTTTGAATTGTCTGTCTGTATGTTGCACATTAGAAACCTTAATAGAAGGCTAAAAAAACCCAACACATACACGCACACTGATTACTAAACAGTGTGGTTTAAAATTAAATTGGAAAATATTTTTTTCCTGCTCTCCTATGTGGATCTATCTGCTCATCAGAATATGCCCATAAAAATGCTCTTACCGGTAAGAACTGGTCAGTTCTGAACTCAAAGTCATCAACAGGTAAATAACCACTAAGGAAAAACAATACAGATTGCAGATGGATACAAGACTCAAATAAACAAATATTCCATGGATATGCAAAAATTATAATGTGAATGATTCGGTAGTAAGTTTAAAATTGTTTGTTTTCGTGTAACTCTGAGTTAAGAAGTAATCAAACATCTTTGCCAATGAAAGGATATTTAACTTCAGTGTCGTAGCTGTCTCAATACGGACCTGAAAGACAAGTCAAGAAGCTTCACGCATTCGTCCATTGAACTTTTTGATTATCAACATACTATCTGACAACATCAAATCAGTTGCTGTTTTAACCATTGAATCATCCTATGCGTTCTGTCATCCTCTAAGAAACGCAGTTAGTTCAACTCAAACATATTCATTTGCTTTCATTTTAGTATCCTTTACAGTTAGCTTACATTGCTGAAGTGGTACCATCGAGAGACACTACTCAGGCAAAACCTTCATGAAGGTCAAGCAAGTATAAAGAAGATATCTAGCCTGTGATAAAAACTCTTGCAATAGAGAAGTTTAACGTGGGATTATCTCATGGCTTGCTCTCACACAAAAAGCCCAGAATCAAATAAACTCAACCAGTTAGGACGTTCTTCCCTCGTAGACGTTCAGATGTTCAGAAAGTATTAAGTGAAAACAGTCACAACAATGACACTGAAACACATCTGGCTCTCCTACAGCTGTCTGGAATCCCAGAAATAACTGCTATGACTGACAATCACTAATATTTAACTAATATTAACTAAAACTAGCTAGGTTTATTTGTTGGCTGCTAGCACTATTTGTTTAAAAATAAAAGAAACAATCGCAAAACCAGCTACTCAACCTTACCCTCTGGTAAACTGAAACTGTAGCTTACAACCACAGAACTGTACTCTGCCAGCTTAGCAACTAATGCCATTTACCATATTCTGCTAGCAGGTAACTGTTAACGCTTAAATACTACTGTATACTTCAGTGACCAGCCACAGAATAACCCTGTTTTATGTACACAAGGTGTTTATAAATTATTTATCTCAGGACACTTCACATATTTCTTCTTGTAAGAAACACACTGTTGTTATTGCCATTCATGTTCCCACCAAACCATCATGTAGTGGAACATCTTAAGACCTTGTTTCATGTCTTTGACCTTACTGTTTCACACCTCCACAATTAAACATCACCACAACTTCCCAAGAGATTATCTTTTGCAAGAAAAAACAGACTTCAGGTGTGATGTTACGACAACCATCAATCAGGTTTACACACGGTATGGCATATATGTTTCACTTGTGTCTACAGGACAAATGTACAATCCAAAACATTATTTATTTATACTTACCACCAAGTCCTGGTCTTGAAGCAAGTTACGAATTGCCTCATACAACATAGGTCTCAAGTCTGATTTGAATTTTACAGAAATCCACTGTCCAATCAGCCAAATTACTCGTCGGCGTATTGGTTTGTATCTTTAAAAGTAGGGGAGAAAAATTGTACTCGTGAATTTATTGTATTTGTTGTTCTAAAATACTTCGATGAAAAAGAAATATAAGAATCACTAGGAAAACATTATTCCCTAAAACAAGTATTAAAAATATTTAGTTTGCCAAGACAAGTTTAGAACTTCAATGCAGAAATCTTTTTCATCAAAATTCTTCAAACAGAAGGCTCAGGAAACACCAGCTTAGTCCGGAAAAGATAACTTTCATCCTAAATGACTAAATCTTGAAAGTCTCAGTAAAGATACAGTTTATTCTGCACATAGCACGTCAATAAAAGAAACTAAAAATAAATCTTACATTTATTACTGCCATCATGGTATCTACTGCTTTCAGAGTTTCCAGAAGTGCCCTTGACATTCCTTTTATGCTCAAAATTTTAGGTCAGATACAATTTAAAAATGCAAACTTAAGTACTGCATTACAGCACCTGTCAGAGTATTTCATGTCATCAGCCTAAAACTATTCTCAGAGAGAAATGACATTACCCAATCTTGCACCACTGCTGCAACAAGGGCACAAATCAAACAGCTTTAGAGTCAATGGGGAGAAGTAAGAACCAGACCAATGAGCTCAGTTGCCTAACAGTGACTGAGAAAAGCATTCCATACAGCTGCTCCTTCCCTCCACTGATTGTAAAAGCTGATCAGGAAGAGTAGATCACATTAAATATTTAACTTGCAGACATATAAAGTTAGGAAAAATAACCCCTTTCACAGAATTTTAACTAAGAAATATGTTTTTCCTTGTTATCCTGAATGTATTTTTCATTTGATGAACTTCTGCCTTGCAAGCCATCAGGACAGCAATTTAAACTGAAAGTATTGAGGCTTCTTTACATTTAATAAGTGTGATTTATTAAATTTTCACATAACCATGAAGTAATTAAGAAAAAACACCTTCAGAGAACATGAAAGTTGTGGAAGCAGCAAGTATAAAGCACTTCGTAAGACTGGAACACAAAGCTAATGAGAAATAATATTGAAAGCCAACCGTATCCTGGGCTGTATCCAGAGAAGCGTGGCCAGCAGGTCGAGGGAGGGGATTCTGCCCCTCTACTCTGCTCTGGTGAGACCCCACCTGGAGTGCTGCATCCAGCTGTGGAACCCTCAACATCAGAAGGATATAGACCGGTTGGAGTGAGTCCAGAGGAGGCCACAAAGATGCTCAGGGGGCTGGAGCACCTCTGCTATGGGGACAGGCTGAGAGAGTTGGGCTTGTTCAGCCTGGAGAAGAGAAGGCTCCGGGGAGACCTTATAGCACCTTCCAGTACCTGAAGGGGCTACAAGGAAGCTGGGGAGGACTTTTTACAAGAGCCTGTAGTGACAGGACAAGGGGTAACGGGTTTAAATTGCAAGTGGGAAGGTTTAGTTTAGCTAGCAGGAAGAAGTTCTTCACAGAGAGGGTGGTGAGGCACTGGCACAGGTTGCCCAGAGAAGCTGTGGATGCCCCATCCCTGGAAGTGTTCAAGGCCAGGCTGGATGAGGCTTTGAGCAACCTGGTCTAGTGGAAGGTGTCCCGCCTCCCGACAGGGGGGTTGGAACTAGATGGTCTTTCAGGTGCCTTCCAACCCAAACCATTCTATGATTCTGTGAATATTCCAGTGTTGCTTGTGATTTATTGAGTGACAGTGAAGCATGAACAACCCATACTGAAGCATGACTTACACAAGATGTTGTCTTACTAACACATCCTTCTATTTATTCAAGAAGCTGTGATGATACAACTGTTTCTATTCTTAGAATTCTCATGCCTTGTAAAAATCAGAATATCAAAAAACTAAGAAGTTTTTCTTCAGATTGGTGTTGGATAGTTTTCAAACCACTATCATAAAGAAAAGTTTTAAATTACAAGTACATAACCACCTGCTGACAGCAAGGATTTTCAGCCCTGGTGATATCTGCTATACTGTCCATACATGCTACCTCCGTCTTTGTATTTTCAGTCTTGCTGGGAAAGATAGCATGCTTTTGAGGTTCTGGGGAGTCAGTGTGTGTTTGGGTTTGGTTTTGGGTTGTTGGGTTTTTGTTGTTGTTGTTGACATTATTTTTCCCCTTCTTAAAGGCCTCAAGCTCCAAGAAATTCTTCTGCTCATAGATGCGCACTTTTGTGATCCTACCTTTTCTACATTCACTACTTCTGGGAAAAGCTCACCTCTTAAAACATCATTAGCTTTTACATTCAGAGCACACGCTAAGTGACTGCTGGGCCTAAAGCTCACATCAGGCAAGTGACCATATTCCGAAATAAAGCAGTTTCTTGTTGCAATAGCCATAGGAGGGGAGCTTTAAGCAGTCTGGACAGCATTCAGACAGTCAAGTCCAGAGTATCTTACTTGATACCAAAGTATTAAATGTCATGTTGATACATCCTCTCTCAGCAAGACAAAATGTCTTAAAATAGAATTATTGCAGAAAATCGTATTCAGTATATTATTTTCATATTACAGAGAAGTTTCTCCTTAATCAGTACAAAACTAAATATTTTGGCAAGTGATAAATTTGCCAATGCAGTGTTTCTAAAAAATCTTTAAGTATATTCTTTCATTAATCCCCTATTTCTCCTACTGCTATGGACACCATTGACAGACTCATTATCAACAGACAGTGGAACATTCAAAGAAAACAAAACACAGCAAACTCTCCAGTCACTGCTGACAACACATAGGTGTGTGTTCCCTAACATGAACCTCTTTGTGAACAAGCATGTGAAACTCCATGGGACCATCTGTGGGACAGCAGACCACACTTGCCAACCCATTTTATCTGAACGGCACGTGTGCTCATGAGCCTGTCATTAAAGCAGCACTCCAGTCAAACCACTAATACCATCGCCCTTATTGCCACGGTGGTCTCCAAAGATGCTGGCAGTGAAAGCAGTTCAAGCAAACAAAGCTTCAAACTTCTGATGACTTCTACTGCAAGTTTCTGTCCCCACAGGAATTTCATCCTTTCACATATGCCAACCAAATGGTTTGACCAGGTGTCTTCCCAACTGTAAATACAACTGTATCTACTGTAAAAGACTTTGTCAGTTTTACTTATATCGGTGAATAGCATAAAAATGCCACAGCCAGCATGTGCCACCAATACCACGGTAGCTGTATTCAGGGACTGGTGCTGGTGCAGCCCAACAACACAGGATCAATCATGTGTACAAGACCTCTCATTTTTTCCTGCTCTTCTGATATTTAGCCTAACCATTAGAGTACTTCACCACTGATAGACAGCCAGGGGAAGTTGAGGTCATACCAAAATAAAAAAAGGAAAACTAATGAGAGAAAGAATAGAGACACTGGAGACACCAGGTAAACAACTGTGCCAATTATTCTGTGACTCTGATGTACGGTTATACATCTACAAGTAAATAATTCAATTTTTTTTAAGTATACTGCAGTGAAAAGAAGCATTTTAATATCTTTAAGTTTAGCAGGATCTTCACTCTAAGTTAAACTGAATTGAATTGTAAAGATGTGTTTATAACTGGCACCTGGAAACAAAAAAGGCTGGCTGGCAACTCACTATGGAGAATCATTTACAAGTTTACAAGTAACTCCTAAGGGTATTGGCAAACAGATTAGTTCATATTTCAGATAACAATCGTGTCTGGTAAGATGAATTCCAAATGTACAAGAAAAAAACAGTAAAGTTCTTCAAAGGACATTAGGGTCACTGCCAATGGATCTGATGAGAAAGATAGGACATACTTATTCAGAGTCAATAGCTGAGTGGGAACTCATCTGATAAGGATTAGCATATACAACAGAAGTCACTTCCCTGAGGGAAGAGTCACAATTTGAAGAACAGGGAAGAACACCGTCTTCTAGACAGCTGTAGAGATGTCAGTCTGTACTGAGATGCCAAAACCGGTCTTTCAAAATATGCTGCCTCCTGAACAAAAATGTACTCAAGTGAAGGCCACCCAAATCTAGGGGACCTTGGTGAGAAGGAAAACCCACGGCAGATGGGTTATATAATACTCTATGTAGAACAGCCTTTAATCATTCACATGTTGCAACATAACCCAAATCCTTGCTTCCCCCTTTACGGATGGCAAAACTCACTGAGGAGTGCTAGAGATGGCTTGTATTTAGACTAGTAGAGAAGAACACATCACAATGTTGCCCAAGCTACAGTTTTACAGAGATTATCTCCACAGATTTCCCAGAATCACAAAGGTTGGAAAAGACCTGTAAGACCAACCATCAACCCAACACTACCGTACCCATTAGACCATGTCCTCAAGAGTCATGTCTACACGTTCCTTGAACACCTCCAGGGATGGTGACTCCACCACTTCCCTGGGCAGCCTGTTCCAGTGCCTGACCACTCTTTCAGTGAAGAAGTTTTTCCTTTCAGTTGGACTTTGCTGCCTACAAGGCTCTGAGTTCTCAGGAGGCCAAAATATCCTTCTTTAAATGAGCAAATGTGATTATCCTGAGAAAATTCAGTCAACTCAAATATATGCAAGAAGACTGACTTAAAATATTTTTACAGAACCCTGGAAGTATCCACCACACAGCAGTTCAAATAAACAGAAACTGTGAGGAACACCGCCACTTCTGTGACTGTATCAGTTACCCACATGTATTTCATACCTCTCCTCATTTAGTGGACACATTTAAATATTGAGCATTTTTCAAGTCTGCAATTATTAGACATTATACCTTACGAGATTTGCATAAACAGATCATATTTAAATGATGAAGGCATAACAAATGAAGGTGTTTACCTGTTATGAGAAACCTGTAGTTCTGCTAGTAGTTGATTTTTAAACCACTGATCAAAATCCACGCTATCAAACAGTTCATAAGCAGCCAGCCCAACTGCATTATACACTGGGGAAAAACAAAAGTTATGCTTATTGTTGGTTTAAATATTTAATTTTTAGTACTAATCTATGTTTAAAAGAAAACAACAGATATTTTGATAACCTCAACATAATGAAGCAAAACTAAAGCATATCTTCCTGAAGAAAGGTATTATCAGACTGTGGTGAAGGAAACTCCAGAGGAAATTTTAGTAAAAGAAATGTATTACATATCTTAAAATAGTTAAAACCTATTACAACACTGAAGATCTTACTCTAACATCAAGACTTGTTCCATCAGAGGTTTGTACAATTCTTTTCTTTTGACATAAAAACGCCTTCTGTGTAAAATATACAGAGTATCTCCACAGAAGCACTGAAGCTCATTTATTTGCAGAGAAGAGGAAAGGACAGGACAGTAAGGGAGATTTGTCTAACGGCTTATTGCACCAAAAAAGCTGAAAAAAGCACCATATTTTTACACAAGCATTTCAAAATGTGAAGACTGACATCAAGTGAAAGGAGACACAAAATTTAGGTCCTGCTTTTCAAATGTCTTTAAAAAAATCTTGCCAATTGTTCATATAATTTTAAAAGGTCAAGCACATACATAAAAGAGGCTCTGTTACTTCAAAGGTAAAGTAAAATTTAATTTACCAGCATCTTTAATCAGTATAGCACTTGTATCTTCCATGTTGGTAGATCCTACAACAAAGTTAAAATAAAGAAAAAAGCATAACTAAAACAGAGAACACAACCAACTTTGCACTTACACACTTTAAATAAGTATGCTGTGAATTAAAACTGCTTTGCTACTCCTGTTGTATTCACAAGTTCAGGTATTTCAGTTTCAATACTTTTTTCACTGAATATACTAAAATCAAACCTCTGCCTTCATACTTTATTTTAGACTGAACTCTTCAGAGCTGAACGCTTTTAACAGCAACATGCAAGTTAAGTCAAAAGCATTTCTTTTAAATGAACAGAGTCAAAACCTGCAAACTGCTGAAGACTGTTGACCACGTGGTACTTTTTCCAACAGAGTCCTAGACCTGGTTCATATATACTTTATATATGCATGACTTGCGAACTTACAGGGTTTAAGCACAGATTTTCCAAAATCTTAAGAATTAACTGATTCCTAATATCATCTAATACTTCAACAGTAACACTCAAATTGAAAACATCCAGAAATGGCTATTAGGGGCTTCAGAAGCAAAAAAAAAAATGTGTGCATGTACCTTTTAGCATGGAAGTATTAACTACATAATTCTTGGAAAACAAAATAACTGTCTACACTGTTGTAAGGAACCTTTTACCATTCCCAGTATCGCAGCACTGCAAGCCATCCCCAACTTACGCACATAAAGTATTTTATGAAGAGATTCTGTGAATTGAGAAACCACACTTAGAAAAATGAGTATTTACTTCTATTAATATAACGTACTGATCCATTCTGCTAAGTTCAAACATAAAACACCGTATGTCAAATGAGATAAACCTAGGAAAACAACCTAAGCTAAAATGACAGGGAAAAAGCAGCAGTGTCTTGGTTTTGGCTAGAGGGGAGTGAGCAAGTGTCTGTGTGGTATTTAACTGCCAGCTGAGGTTAAGCCACGACAGTCAGCTGCAACTTTCATGGCCACTATAAAGCTTAGTCTGGGGCAAGGAATCATAGCATAGAAAAGAAAGGAAACTTGGATCATTCCTCTGTCTACAAAGACTTCAGTCTTCATACGGAACACCACTAAATTTTTTAAGCATATTTTTCACATTTGGAAAAGACTCTAGACTCTCCAAATTGACAGCATAACTTGAACTTAGTCTCTTATTTCCACCCCCCAGGATTTTTGCAGACACATGGCAGAATTACCACAAACTGCCTTGCAACATTTGCACACTAAGTTCCCAGTATAAAACAACCACTGAATTCATTATGCTTGTCCACCATTCTCAAGAAAGTCTGAGATCCCATGAAAGCAGAAATGCCCCAGCAGTCATCTAAAACAGTTATGACGAAAAGCAAAGAATCCTTAGGATTCCCTTTTGCTATATATACATTGCATTTTCCTTACGGTAGATTTAAAAATGATTTTAAAATATTAACATGTCCTTTCAAAATGTAGAATGAATGCAAAATACCAAATCAAAGTTCACAAATTTGTTTAAAAGTTGACAAGACCCTATGTAGACAATTCTACATTTTACAGTTCCTTTATTTTTTCAAGAACTTACCTTGTAGACTGCGAACCATTTCTAAAAGCACAGGGCTAAGAGTCTGATTATATTCATGGAAAATATCAATAAAAAGAACTTCCGTGCATGGCTGAAAAATTAAAATATCTGTTTTAGAATCTATGAAAAGGCAATTAAAATACATATTATGTTAAAATTTTAAGTGCTGAACACTTTGCACCAAAGGTCGTAATTTAAAATGGAATATACTATAGCAAAATCACTATTATAGGAAATACCACTGTTCCTACTATACAGTACGCTTAAACCCTAGCAAGAGTTCGATGGCTGCATCTGCATCAGCCAGCTCTGTGGTGGAAGAACTACAGGTCTCTGGAGTGAAACAGCTGGTGTTGAGAAGCCAGTAAACACCCTGTAGGTATGTCATGGTTTCTTTTTGGGTTAGCTCCAGTTGAGTTATCTGACTGAATACCCACTTGCACCAGGAACACACCAGATGCACAGGGTTGGGTTTTTTAGTTTTAAAATTAAAGTAGCCCAGCAAATAATATTTGAGATCGGTCTGTAAAGCTAACCACAGCAGTGACAATTGGGAGATTCACTACGACAGCACACTTTTGATGTGAACTAAAATGCCAATATAGATAGATCCAAAACTTTCGTCACTTATCATGTGAACTAACAAAGTAGTAACTGATAATCTCCACCAGATGCTACAGAATACAAATGCTGCTAAAGCCAACTCCTTTTCCCTCCTCCAAAAATACGAAGTGCATAGTTTCCAGTGTATTTCAGCATGTTTGAGTATTGATAAAGGAACAAAGTTGACCTATACTCAGAAATCTCTTTAACTAAAGATTCTTTTTAAAAGCACGAGCTTATCTTTCTATCAAATCTCATCTCTCCTATCAAGAAACTATCAAGAAATTCATCCAGAAATGTTAAATGGTTTTCTTTCAAACTGAAACACTTACTCTGAGACTGTACTTCCAAGAATCTCCTCCTGACTCTTCTACAGCTATAATTCCATAAAGAAAAGGAAAAACATTATTTCAACTATGGTTCAAATAAAGATATGTGGTTATCATAGACTACTGAGAAATCTTGTTATGAAAACATTTTCTACAGGGAATATCTGTGCATGTAACCAGACTGCAGAAAATAAAACAGCTGATGTCATAGTAAGCATTTTGTAAAGTAAAAGCAGATGCAAAACTCTTATACAAATATCTAAATAAAATGCAACCAACTATAAACCACATTTCTTACTGAAGCCTTCTGGGTCCTCTTCCCACATGGTTAATTCTTCCTCTGTCAACAGGAAATAATGAGTGACTAATCTTCTACATATTTCCATTAGTGTGGGATATGTGAAAAATGCTGTCTTTATCTTATGAGCTTCAAGAGTTTCAGGACTGCTATCTGGAATAAAACACATAAAATTCCAAATTACAAGGTGGCTTAATGACCAAACAGCAGTGTAGTAAAATTGCGAAGAAATCAACAGATAAGGAATTTTTAACCTCAGCAGAAAAAAAAGAAAATAATACATTTTCACGGCAGATTTTCAAGTGACACTTTTTAAAGCAAGTTAAACTCCCAAATTCATTTACTCTTAAGGGAGTTCTCTAAGAGAATATTTAGACTGAAGGGTCATTCGAGTTGTATTACTTTTCATCTACATAGTAGATGAAAAAAAAGTATCTACCTGCTGCTTTTGGTATTTTTCTTTTATTTAGCATTACTGAATTTAAAAACACACTGAAGTCAAAGTTTCATTTATACCTATACAGAAAGTTTATCCAAATACAATCTTAAAAATAACTTGGGTATTTTAAGAGTTAATATTAGTTAAAGAAAGAAGCAATAAAACTGAATACTGTATGCTATACAAGGAACAAATCACTGTATGTCTGCCAGAAATCAAGAAAAACAAACTTTCTATTTTAATTTACTTTTAATCACCCAGTTCTGAAATAGTCAAGTGCTACAGCTTTTATCAGAATGTGATATATTCTTCTCGTCTCAAGTGTCCACATTTCTATTTCAAAACCTCAAACACAACTATGAACTTTTGCAAGTAGAAATTTCTGTTAATAACCAGTGGATTTAGGAGAATTTAATGTTTTATGAAATTATGGAATAACATGAAAACATATCAATATTTTGAAGAATTTTAAATACTGGGTTTGTGTAATCTTTCTGACTCATACCACTATGTTCACGAAACATTTTTTTCCCCTCAAATTTACAAATAGAACATTAATTGTTAACTAGTCACTGCCAAATGTCAAACTAAGGTGAAAGTTTTGGGATTTACTTAATATAGTTCAATTCTATTTTTCATTATCCATAAATACAGCAGTGTATGAAAATTCAGAATGAAAGAGTCCTACAAAGCTGACCATATAAATTGATTCATATTCAACTGCATGCAAATTGTATGTGTTTCTGTATTTCAGAGTAGTGGTATTAGTTAATTACAGGAAATACTCCATTTTTATCAAACATTTCTCAATGGAAAGATGCATCAAACCACTCAGTGAAAATAAACCAAATCTCATACCTCAATACTTTTAAACATTAGTTCAGTGTAAACTAAAACAATGTACAAAAATACTCACACTCACATATTTAAGATTACTTTAGCAAGTCAATGCCTACATATATATACATATATATGAATACTTTAAACATCAACGTAAGAATTATCAATATAGAGACAGCAGCATATATTACTAACTATTTAAAAAATTAAGTGTTTCAAAAGAGTATCTTAAGAGAGTTTTAATGTTGGGAACAACTAGCAAAATGTTTCTCAAGATATAAGAAATGTTTTTAGTAAATAGCAGCAGTACCTTCAATATTTTTGGATGGCTTGTATGCATAATTTTTTACAATCATCTTAATGAGATTCATGCACTGTACAATAAACCGCTCAAATACAATTCCTTCACCAGCCCCTGTGAAAGCATAGCTTACAGCAAACTCCAATGACCTCTGAATCAAAGGGGTGAATGAAAAAGGATGTTGATCCAGGAAATCCAAAAGCTAAAAATAAAGGAAGCAGAACAAGAAAGAGAAATAAATAATTTCTGTGCAAGTCTTATTAGATGCTTTCATAAATTAGTTAGGAAAAAACAAGTGCCAATTTATATAAAGTTATACAAAAGAAAACTGAACACAGACAGGAAATTAGGAAGAGATCATTATCAATGGTTAATGAAGCATTATTTTGCCCTGAAATTCTTGAGTCATGTTCAAAATTACTTTTATTTTTCTTTTAAGTTTAAGGAACGATACCTGTTCTCAACCAGACCAGCTTGCAACTAACACAGTATGCAATGTATTTTAGCCCTACTTAAAAACTCTACACATTTTAGCAGCTAATTCAACCCTATTAGAGTTATTTTAAGTAAAAGAGCAATGAGTGAAATGACTTCCTATTCTTTTTTCTCGCCCACCCACTGCAGTATAAGCACTTGCTGCTTCAGCTCAGCTTTTCCAACTTGTGGTCTAGAATGCACTGGGTCAATTTCTTTAATCTCCTGTACAACTGCAAAAATACTTAAGCCTAAATTTTTGCATCTGAATTACTACAGGTGGTAGTTTACCTACTAATAAAATGTATTTCATCTTCAGGTCTACGAAAAAGGTGCATGGGCTTCACATACTTTGCTTGTTAGTTCAAAGTAAGAAGTACTGTGAAAAAGACTAAAAATGTCGGATCAGAGCACCTTCAGTTCAATTTTGGTGAAGCCAACAGCTGCCTCTCACTTCTGACAATTAGCCTGAATATTTAATTAAGATCCATAGCCCCAGAATAGAATCTGAGAACAATGGGAGTTCAGTAGGTTTTACATCTTTTAAAAACAGAGCAAGTGACAACGCTAAAATTACCTTCTGATAATATATGCAATTAATGGTTGCGCAGAATTAGCTGGCAACTCCAAATGTATTATATAATGCAAAAGTCACAGAGGGTAAGAGAGGTTTTTGTTAATTTTCTTTCAATAAACTAAAAGTGGCCTGTCATTCAACAGAAGTAACAGGGCCTTAGAAATAGCCATCTAACTACTTATAAAAGAGAGCATGAAAGGTTTATCTCTTCTTTATTCATCAACACTGATACCAGTGTTTAAGCAAAACTTTCAGAATTCTTTTCTGAGTAAAATCCTAGATGAATAATTTACTAATGTAATGCACTTAAATTTTCTTTGAGCTAAGGAAATGTATTCTTCACTGCCGTAACTTAATGTCAGCGTAAGTAAAAAGACACCGTTTTCTTTAAAGAAAAATTCCAAAATATATTTCATAACAAAGAAGTTTAAAGTTTCAGTACCTTCCATTTCTTTAAAAGATCTGAAACCTGTTTTCTTTAAAGCACATGCATATCTGAATGGGGACTGCTCCTCCAGAACAGTAAACTACTCAGTAACTGAATGGAGAATTTACTTACCACTTTAGTGAACAGAATTATAGTCTTTTCTAGACGATCTCTGCATATGTTTTCTCCTCTTATACTTCTACCTGGTAAATCAGATATTTAACAACTATCATTTTTTCACACTTTCCTTTTCTTTCTGGATAGCTAAGTTTTCAAAAAATTAACACTGTAGAAGAACTTGGTTTATCTGTAGTTTGAGGATTACACCAGGCAGGAAAAAATTATTCTCTCACTTATGGCAAAATAAATTCAAAGTCAAATTCAAGGTAATGAGTACTGGGGGGGGGGGGGGAAATCTTTAACCATTTCTCTCAGTGAGTTTCACTGCAGCTGTAACTGATCGGAATAAAACAACTGGGACATCGGTACAGACAGCCCAGTGATAAAAGGCAGTTAAAAATAATGCAAGGAAATGCTAGCATAGACAAGAAGTAAAAAAATAATGAAAATATGAAAATGCCCTTTTATAGACATATGGCATAGCCCTACTACATAACACATGTTTTTCTAGAAACTCCACCTTAAAAAATAACTGATTATGGGCTCTGGAATACATTCTGAATTTACAAAAAACAGATAAAGCTTTCATTAAAAAAAAAAAAGAGAGAAACACAAGAAGAGCCATAATGAAGGCATACAGGCAAAACCATGCTGTAATAAATGCACACAGTTATCTTGTAAGGTAGTTGTCCCTGCTTTTTCAAAAGAACTTCTGGATTAGAAAAAGTGGAAATGGGAAGTTTCATCTCTTTTCTTATCTTAGGACATTCAAACCCCACAGTCCCCATGTTCTAGCGGACTATAATAGCCACCAAGTTTCAGGAAGAGATGGCCTCCAATTCAGCCCATTAAAGCTAGGCAACTATCTTGCCAAATATGAAAGAAGGGCCAGAAAGAGCATGACTATAGTACAGTAGAAGGGGCAAACAGCTGCATTCAAAGCAAACTGCATTTTAGAAAAGAAGAAAAGGTATTTTATTTTGGCACTGAACACAGTGGAGGCTTCCATCTTTTTTAGAACCAAGTCTCAGAGCCCAGGTCAGCCCCTCTCACCTAAGCACAGACTCCTGAGTCAAGTAGCTTCTTTTATATATTAAAAAAAAATGTTTATACTCAGTTTAGAGATCTATTCTCAGAAACTGAATCCTAAAAGAATGACCTGACAGGCTTCAGATGAATGAATGGCTTCCACCAGATCTGCCACAAGTGCACAAGCAAGAAAAGCGGAGTGAGTTCAGATGCAACACCAGCAAACACTTTTTTGCTTGCCTTCGGTAACTTCCCTGAAAGAGCACCAACACCTGCCAACTGCACTTCTGTTGACTGTGTATCCTGTCCTTGCCTGTCTCAGACTACTACTCTTCCAGTTACAAAGAAGACACAGCTGAATGTGGTCTTTATTTCCCATGTTACACTTACCAAAATATATGGTAAACACCAGGAAAACGTAAAACTCTCCCAAAGAAGAAAACTCATAATCTGACTTCTAGTAGCATCTACATATTTTAAGGATACTCTGTAAATCCATGGCTTAAGATACTTTTTTTTTTTGTCACTGACATTATCACACCAAGTATAATTTTGGTGGGATTTTATTCTGTTGATACAAAAGAACGGTTTTAATGAAGTCTTTTCCGGTAGCTTCAGCAGCATTTAAAGTAATAGCTTTGTGTTTATAAAAAATATCTAAATGATTATGGATGATGCACTAAACTGTGTGTTTTCATCCAGCTTCTAATATTTAACAGCCAATACAACGGGAAATATTCAGGTACTTACTACACTCCAGAAACTGTTTTAGCTGTTCAAACACTGCATTTAGAAAACCCTGAAAAACATAAAAGTGCATAAGTCAGTTCAGATGTGTTACTAGCACAGACATCACCTCATCACTGTTAACTAACTGATTATCTTGGACAAACCATCTCCTCATTAAACAAATGATTAGCTATCTAGCAGACCGCATGGACGATCCAAACCAACCTTATGAGTACCACACAAACAGCATTGCATCTCCAACAGAAGGACGAATAAGTAAATAGAGAGAGATAGGCTTTACAACCTGCTTATCCAGTTCTTCCCTATTCTCAACTACCTGGTTTAGGATGTAGGTCGTAGGTACCCAATCCCTCCAGCAAAGCAGGCAGTTTGCAGCTAAGGAAGGTGCTTGGGTTTCTTCTTTTTTTTTTTTTTTGTCGCCTGGATGGGCTACATACCAAAGGCTTCCATGTCCATCAGACAAATTGTATCAATAGAATTTGAAATGACAAACGCGGCATTACAGCCTCGGCCAGGCTGGATGAGGCTTTGAGCAACCTGGTCTAGTGGAAGGTGTCCCTGCCCATGGCAGCAGGGGTGGAACTAGATGGTCTTTAAGGTCCCTCCAACCCAAACCATTCTGTGATTCTATGATTATTAAATGAAGACATCCTCCTCCAATGATAGGGGACTTCTTTCAATAGGCAACAGGGGTGTCACTATCCTGTGACATGTAAATTGGAAGGGGTGCTTTTTTTCTTTTTTTAAACAGCATGCTATTGGTGTTACAGTGTTTAGGATCTATCTAGGAACTGACAGTTCTTTACTGATGGGAGGACAACTTTGAGAGTGTGTTACTTGATCTTCCTTTACATAACACAAATGTGTCCCTCTTAATTTTTGTGATTTTTAAACACAGCTCTGACAAAACCTGAAATGGTCAAAAAAGCTTTCTAATCGAAAACTAGAAACAGATATATGTCACTTACCATGACCTCTACATTCCAATGAGGTTCTACAAACCCATGGACTGTCAGTTTACGAAGAACTAGGGAAAAAAAAAAAGTTACTTGTGTAGGTATTTCTCAGCCCTCGTTCCAACAGACTCACACAAGAGTATGGGGCCAGACGGGATCCACCCAAGGGTACTGAGGGAGCCAGCGCAAGTGCTCACCAAGCCACTTTCCATCATCTATCATCATTCCTGGCTAACCAGGAGGTCCCAGTTGACTGGAGGCTAGCCAACGTGACACCCATCTACAAGAAAGATCACAAGAAGCATCCAGGGAACTACAGGCCTGTCAGCCTGACCTCAGTTCCAGGGAAGGTTACGGAGCAGGTCATCTTGTGTGCCATGACACAGCACGTACAGGATAACCAGGCGATCAGGCCCAGTCAGCATGGTTGTATGAAAGGTAGGTCCTGCCTAACTAACCTGATCACCCATAACAAGGTGATCCCTTTAGTGGATGAGGGCGAGGCGTGTGGCTGATGTCTATGTGGACTTTAAAGCCTTTGACACCATTTCTCACAGCATTCTGCTGGAGAAGCTGGCTGCTCATGGCCTGAATGGGCTGGATGGCCAGGCCCAAAGAG